GTAACATGTTAATGTTCTAAAACCTACAAAACTGCCTGTGATAATATCAGTTGTACTACAACATGATTGGTTTGTGTGATAGTATTATTGATTTGTGACGTATTAAGTGTTTATTATTTGCATTGTGTTTATAAGCTGCAAGTGGTTAATGTATTATATACTAGTATATACTGTTATAGTATATTGCTGTTTTTCATTAATACCCTGCGTGATTTTGATTAAACTTTGAATCATCAAAGTTACTTTCATATTTCATATATGTTTGAAATTACTAGCCCTGTGGTCGGGTAGATCTTTTGTGAAAAAAAATATATATTTTACAAAAATAGCAAAATGTATTGTTGTCAAAATTATGTACCTAGAAGTCTGATCCAATCGTTTTGACACATGCAACATGTAAAACAAGTATGAACAACAATCCATGAAAGTTCCATGATTTAGCGAACTCTCACACCATGCATGCATGATTTCACTGAAATCTCACTCGATGCATGATTTGAACGGCCGTTATATGCAAGAGTTCCAGTTGATCCGACCTTTAAAGAGCTTTAAAGCTTTAAAGAGCTGAAGTTGACACTCTATTTGGTGTTTTTACACTGTTTTGAAAATGATGAGTCGGTTTTTAAGGATGGGGCCTCCACCAAAGAAGCAAAAAATAAAAATGTGACTCCAAAGGTCTGAATAGAGTGGGCGTATGATAAAACCAAAAGTATATGGAAAATTGTCCCATCATGGAAAACAATGTAGTGAAACAATTGATAATAATAAAATATTGAAATCATAAACAGGGCTGTTAAATTTCAAATTTTGTCAACATTGTCTCTAAAAGAGATCTCCCAGTTCTACAAAATGCTGAAATGGTTGTATTTAATGCAGATACCCCACATATACCCATAACAGTGTACAGACAATCATACATTTGAATCCTGTTCCTATCTTTTACTACAACAGGTACGACCACGATGCTGATATCAGTATAGTGTACAAGCCAACAACGGCCATTCAAATCAGTCATCTTCTCAAGAATGCTGTTAATAACATTGGAATGAAATATATAAGCTTTGGAGAGATTAATCCAACTACTAAACGTAAGGAAACATCATTTGGGAGGGTCCGATATAACGATGTGTACATCGATATTTATGGATGGCAGATACGTGATGGGGTATTTCAAGGCAGACCACAGCAGATATTACATAAACCATATCCGGATTACAAAATGTTGTTACTCAACAAATTGATTGAGAAATATGTCATAGAAGTTTATGAGTTTCCTTTGGCATGGTTACACCCAAGACGACAGATTGAATTTATTGGTATTAAAGCAATGGTACCAAACAATGCAGATGCTTTACTGACTGCTCTCTATCCATTTAAGAAGTTTGCTGTGCCATATAAGTTGAAATGCTGGTTACCATTTTAGGGCGAAAAAGTTTTTTTTTCTGCATATTTCAGGACAAACCAATCAAAAACACAGTGGTGGTAGTGTATTGCTTATGGCAGCCTAATAGTCTTATATGGTCTTTATTTACAAATTCAAGGTCATAAAAATATTTAAATGTACAAGAAGAATATTGAAAAATAAAAATATTTTACATGTACAAGAGGAATATTTAAATAAAATCACATATCACGTTCCTAAGTTTCAATGCTTGAAAGATGTATGTAGCCAGTGGTTGTAAAATGTCAGAATTTTGGGAACTAACAAGATCTACAAATTTATCAAAAGACGGGGTATTATCAAATGTATTGGGTAAGTATGAGGTTCGCAATTCATGGTAATATGCGCAAACAAGGAGCAAGTGAAACTCATTTTCAATTTCATCTATGTCACAAAGTGGGTAAATACATTCGTCTCTCTCAATTACACCACGATCTCTTTCAATGGGAAGGCAATGAGAAGAACGTCGAAACCGTGCAAGAGCTACTCTATGGAAATAAATTACAACAGATTTTAAGTATTTTTCCGGCTGCAATGTAACCTTAAATTCCCGATATATAACCAGTTTGTCTAAGGAACAAATATCAGTAAGCCACTCAAGATGTAGGTATTTCTTAAAAAGACATGAAAATACGCTTAAAATTCCTGAATATTGCCAACATTCTGTGAATACCAAACATGTTCTAATTTACACAAAAACAATAGTTTCCTTATGTCTGCCACCCAGGGAGGTTCACCTTCACCCCCGATTTGTCTATGTTATATAACATGTTGTAGCATTTACGTGGGTATCTGTTACTTGGCATATTTATGATTTTAGCCTAATATTTGATGCATCGTTTTGCGGTGTAAAAGAAAATGGGGTAATTTCCACACTCGCCCAGTACACAATTGTTAGGTGATCGTGTGGAGACACCTATATATCTGCAAGCAAGGTATTGGATACGTTCCAGACATTCATATTTCTTTAAACCCCCAGACCTCCGAACCATAGTTTAAAATAAGTAAAATCATGGAATCAAAAATTTTAAAGAATGAATCATAATTTAAAGGGCCAATTTTTCTAGTATTTTTCATAATAGCCATAAATGTTTTATAGCATGTTGTGCAAAGGACTTCGCAGATGTCCACTGTAACCGACATGATAATAAAATTCCCAAATATTTGTAATGTGAAACTACCCTAGCTGATGTATTTCTGGCAACAACATAGTGTATTTCCGATAGCAATACAGTGTATTTCTCTTAGTAGCACAGGGTATTACTGCTGGCAGTAACAAGTTATACCGGTATAACCATGCGTAGTGATGTGCATATTTTCTTATTTGTTTTGACAAAACAAAGCAGAAGATAACTTTTGAAAAGAACGGAACCACTAAATGAATGATTCTCGAAACTAAAATATATGAAAAATATAACAAAATGAATGCATATATATTTATCTTCTACAAAATGCTGCATTTTTATATTTTATGATTCGACTGATCATTATAATGAAACATGCCATACGATTGACTACGTGGTCTGCATTCTGAGATCTACGGTGATGCCTTCTCTTCATTCCATGGCAATCACTATAACTTGGTATTCTGTTATATTTCATGTATAACTTGAGCACTAAGAAGTGTAGACCACTTCTATCAATATGAACACCATCGCTATAATATAGGTCACCACTACTTTCTAGCTTATGTTTGACAAACACACGGTATTCAAATTTGTTGCAAATATTTCCGACTATTATTTATATAAGACATCTTATATATTTGATTTGAAGCATAGAATAGGAGGATACTTTGAAGCGAGAGGGTTGTCACCAGCACACGCGTGAGAATTGAGTTTCATCGACGATAACAACACACTAAAACGCAAAGGCTCATGGGTAGACGCTTGTTTGTAAACAATAACACGCTATGACCATCTTACGCATGCGCAGGTGACGACTCCCCCGCTTTAAACAACAATAACAGCATTATGACGAACTTTCCTTGTAAATTTATATATTGATAGTAAAGCATGTACGGGCATGACACATTTGAAAAACATTCCTCGTTTTCGACCCTGTTGGTCCTTCCGAATAGAAAAGACAATATTTGGTTAGAAATTAACATCTTTATTGTTATTACATCAAAACTAGTAAAACAGACTTCTAGTTATTTATTCATTTATGCAATTATTTATTTACTAGCACATAGTGTACAACCATTGCCTGGGTTAATTACATTTGTGTTTACCTTATTTGTGTGTGTACATTGAACATAATGACATTATTACATA